TATAGGATATTGGTGGGAAAGCCAGGAGGAAAGAGACCACAGGGAAGACCAAGGTGTAGGTGGGTGGACAATATTAGAATGGATCTTAGAGAGATAGGATGGTATGGTATGGATTGGATAGATCTGGCTCAGGATAGGGACTAGTGGAGGGCTATTGTGAACACGGTAATGAACCTTCTGGTTCCATAAAATGCTGGGAAATTCTTGAGTAGCTGCAGAATTGGTGGCTCCTCCAGAAGGGCTCAGCTCCATGAGTAAGGAAGTACTCTTTTTGTTCTTATTATTCACTGATTCCACCATTTGTAGGTTGCATAGCAACCAGGCCTCTCTGTCGATCCCCATCTGTTTTCCCAAAACTCCTGCTTAATTTTCTCCTGTGTTTTTCCTTCCTTGTGTGTAACATCTTTCCTAACCCCTTTGTCTAATCTTTGTCATGGTAATTCTCTTGAACATTTTACTATTAGTTTCATGTTCATAACCGTCTTTTGGATTCTATCTTCATTCATTCCTACCATCTTATTCTGCTACTTACCAGTTTATTTTCAGAGGCATGTATCTCTGAAGTTGTCTCTTATTTTGTTGATCACATTTTTCCCCTCTGTACTTCTTAAAAATCTCATCTCTGCTGCTGTCTGCATGGGTCCATATCGTGTTCCTGCCCATTTTGACACATGCCATGGAGCAAGCAAGACAACAGTAGCTGAGACAGTGTTCACATACATATGTAAGTGCACACGAATGGGGTGCGGGGGGCAGAGGCACTTGTCACGTGGCAGAAGTCAGAGATGTTGAAGTAGGTCTTGATACTTCTGTGCCAAGTGTAATTTGCTTACATAGCATGCCAGTCAGTCTTGGGTCATTCAGTGAGAATCACATAGTCACTAAATTAGCCAGTTGGTAATTATTCAGTTGGTATTTGTGTTTTCTTTTTGAGGTAACTTCTGTTTTTATCAGGTACACCTCACCATGTCTTGTTTAGTACAGAGGAAAGTAAACACCCTTTCTGACCCTCATGTTTTCATGTAAAATTTACACACAATTCTAACCCTCTGGTATATGCATTTTCTAGTGATTCTAATAATCAGCGCCTGATGCTCGGAGATTCTGCGATGATACCAGTACCGGGAAAAGGCCCATTGAAACCGCAGGGTACCGTCAGTAGTGCCAAACAACTGCGCATTGATCAGAAGAAGTAAGTTCTTGTGCCTGGAAGTTAGATGATAAGACATCACCTTACAGATAATGTGCACTCGAGATGTAAGATTCACATGGCCTCATGGGTTGTGGTCCTGTATAGTGCTGTAGATTGGTAGGTCTGCAAATGCTTTAGAGGAACCTGGTGCCTCCATCTTCAGGATGCTACCATACTACAAGCATCTCTTCCCTGGAGACTAATCCTAAACACATTCTGTACAAATCATGAGTGAGTTGATTCGAGTGGTAGCACTTCTGCTTTTATTCATGAGGTGCTCAGTTCGAATCTTGGTCAGGGCACTGGCCATCCTACTGAGGATTTCCATGATTTTCCTCAATCCCTTCAGGTAAATTCTGGGATAGCAATTTGAACTAGGGCATGATTGCTTCCTTCCACATCCTGTCTGGTTCACTGTTGTCTAATTATTTAGTGCTTCATAGTCTGATTTCCATTAGCATAATTAAATACACTAGTAATGCAAATAGTGCGCTTCTTTGTTTTTGTAACCCTAGAGCTAGGACGTCATACGAGGAGTTTCAGTATGACATGACGGCTCAACATGCTTGTGCAGAACAGATCATGTGTCTCCGTGCAGCATCCAGTTTATGGTTCCAGGTCCATTAGGCGCAGTGTGCGGAGTGGTTCCATCAAATTGAAGCAAACATATGAACATCTGATGGAGAATGGAGACATTGGTGCCATGAACAGAGTCAGTTCGTCCCGAAGCAGGCCCCAGGATCTTGATATCAAACTGCTGCAAGCGAAAAGACAGCAAGCAGAGATGCGTAGGTATGTACTGTGCGTTTGGTGTCTCTGTCTTTATGAAGGTAAATACTTTGTTGAGTAATTAGTTCTGTTCCGTTTACTTCAACTTATCACTTCTGCTCACTTTGGAATGGATTTAATGGTGCAGTAATTAAAAAAGAGGTGTAATATTAACCCCAGAAAGACAGTCACCTGCTGGTCCCTGCAGCTGCACCAAGATGGCACCCAAATATATGCAGATTATGAATGTGGAGCTGTGGGTGTCTGCTTAAGACACTTCTCTTCATAGAACATGGTGCAGATTGGACATGTGAGGGATCATGATGAGTGAAGGATTTTAAATATTTGAGCTAGCTAACAAACTAACTCCATATAGTAGAGTCCTTGAGAAGCTAGTAGTTGATCAGCCACTTAAGTGCCCAGCATTATCTGGAACTCGGATTTTATTACTGTGTTTACAAGAGCAAGTCCCTGGTCCCTCTTCTGAGCCAGATGAATCCACCCTTCCCACCTTCCCAATCAGTCCTGTAAGATCCACTTGGGATAATCTTTAGTTATGTTTGAACATCCCTCCTTTGCACGGTTCATGAAGTGTCTGTCAGAGCAATGTGCAAACTTCCTGCTCCTCAGGAACCAGAGGGAAGAGGACTTGAGAGAGAACCACCCTTTCTTTGACACCCCTCTGTTTGCTGTGCCACGGGAAAGCAAGTTCCGCAAAGTTTGTCAGCTGATTGTGTATGCCCGGTATGATGCCAGACTTAAGGATCCACTCACAGGCAAGGAACGGAAAGTGCAGTACAAACGATTGCAGTAAGTAGCTGAAAAGAATGATCGATGTCCTCTGATGACCAGCCCCACGTAGTTAGCAGTTCGATGAAAGTACAGGAACCCAGTACTGAGAAAGTTATACAAAGTTTTAATTAGTTTGAAATTGTGAGGTAAAGAAATTAATTAAACTCAGTATGAGTGTGTTTCTTAAAAGTATGTCATTCACCTGAATCTTATCTCTGATTTGGATATACAGAGTCATTCTCTGAATGAGTCACTTTAGCAAGTCACCTAGGGAATATGTGAGTCATCTGGTGAATGAGCCACTTGGTTGTTGAGTCTCTTAGTAGATCAGCAAGAGAATGATTGAAACATTCATTTAGTGGGTCGCTTAGCCACTGAGTCACTAAGTCCCGTTCATTCAAATTGTGAGGTTGAGGTACTGACCCAGTTCTGCAGTGCATGACTGTGCTTACTGGACTGTGACACTGGGCTGAAACCTCGCTCAGTAGGGTTCAGAACCTTATGAATAAAAGGGCTACTTCTTTCCAGCAATTTCCTTGGTCTCGTAACATACTTGGACTGGGTCATGATCTGTGTGACAACCCTGTCTTGCATCTCGATGATGTTCGAGACGCCGAGCTACCGAGTGATGGAGACACCAGCCCTGCAAATAGCCGAGTATGGTTTTGTCATCTTCATGAGTCTCGAACTGGCACTGAAGATCCTTGCAGATGGCCTATTCTTCACGCCTAAGGCCTACATCAAAGACGTAGCATCAGTTTTGGATGTTTTTATTTATGTTGTAAGTGTAGTTGCAAGGGATGTACTGAGACCTGCATAGCAAACTTCATCTCTCCTAGTTTCTGCACTATTTGTAATACACTTTATACCAAACAGGTTGGTCTATAGGTAATGCTTTGGGACTCATATTCAGTTTGAATCTTGGCTGTGATCCCACCTATCATGACTGCAAGTTTTCACGGTTTCCTTCAGTTGCTCCATGCAAATACTGGGATAGTGTTGTGATTGGTCATGGCCACTTCCTTCCACATTATTTTCAGTTCATCAGCCATCCTACCATTCAGTGTGATATTCTACAAACTGACAGCATCACAAAGGAGAGCACATTGGTTATGTCTTTATGTATGTTTTCTTTTTGTGGGTTTCTTGTGATGCTGTCAGTAGCAGGATTATAGAATGTCAGAAGGTAGGAGGAAGGATGGATTGTAAAGGGTGTGGAACTGTCCTGGTGTTTGCCTGGTGAGACTGAAGAAAACGACGAAGACCTTGGCCAGGATAGACAATGCCCTGGACATGAGTAGAGTGCGTTACTATTGTGCCAGCCCATTCAGTATGTAGGTAGCATAACTTCATATTGAATGTGTGCTTACAGGTTAGCCTTGTGTTTCTGTGCTGGATGCCAAGGACTGTTCCACCAAATTCTGGTGCTCAGTTGCTGATGATCTTGCGCTGTGTGAGACCTCTGAGGATCTTCACACTTGTGCCTCACATGAGGAAGGTGGTATACGAGCTGTGTCGCGGGTTCAAAGAGATTCTGTTGGTCAGTTTGACATAACTTAAGCCAGTCTGTTCAGTCAGTTTAACTTTGAGAAGGTTTGACATTTGTAAATGAGAATTATTTTTGTTTTTAGGTCTCCATACTCTTGATAGTTCTAATGTTTGTGTTTGCGAGTTACGGTGTGCAACTGTTTGGTGGTCGGTTAGCAAGGTGTAATGACCCTACAATCTCGAGACGTGAAGACTGTGTAGGTGTCTTCATGAGACGAGTGTTTGTGACCAAAATGAAACTTCAGCCAGGCGCCAATGAATCTTATCCTTCCATGTTGGTGCCTCGTGTCTGGTAAGTATTACTGGACATTTAGCATCATGAAGCCTGCCATTCTATGCATCTCATTATCACCACTCACTGATGTTTCTGCCAGTCCAGTCATTTTATAACAAAGCCTTCTCCATTCCCTCTCCACCAACCCATAAGCACCCACCACTCTTTTCTCTGTGTCCGCTCTTTCCCTGCTTTTTTGTCTATCCCCCACCCACCTCACCTGTCTACCCTGTAAGTGAGCACTGTGATCTAACGGTTAATGCATGTCCTTCATATTGTGGAAGTCCTGGGTTCAGATCTTAGGTCAGAGACCAGCTCTCCTGACTGAGGTAGTTACATTTAGTCTCTGCTTTACTGCCATTTATCTTGCCTTGTACATTATTACAGTTTATTCATATTAAAATAATATTTTGTGTCTTTTCAGCAGAATTGTGATATGATCAGATTGTGTCTTGTATACAAAAAATATAGAAGGGTCCTGAATAAACATTTGTTCTCTGTTAGGGCAAACCCTCGTCGATTCAACTTTGATAATATAGGTGATGCAATGTTGGCATTATTTGAGGTGCTGTCCTTTAAGGGATGGCTAGATGTTCGAGATGTTCTCATAAAAGTTTTAGGACCAGTAAGTTAACACCAGCTGGAAATGCTTTACATGTTTGTTGTTGCTGTGTTAGTAGTCTTGAGCGTGTATCAGATCTAGCATGCAGTAATGCAGTAATGTGTTTCAGTTTAATGTAATAGTTTGAATGTAATAGTATGCAGGCCAGCATAAACTTGATGAGCATAAGTAAGTATTGTAAATGTTACAGTGGCCCTGCTCTTTACAGTTTCTGTGCTATTACCTGGCTGCTGTTTGTGACCTGGCCACTGTTTACAGTTTCTGTGCTGTTACCTGGCCACTGTTTACAGTTTCTGTGCTATTACCTGGCTGCTGTTTGTGACCTGGCCAATGTTTACAGTTTCTGTGCTGTTACCTGGCTGCTGTTTTTGAAACCTGGCCACTGTTTACAGTTTCTATATTAGTTGCCTTGCTAGTGCCTATGACCTGGCCACTGTATACAGTGTCTGTGTTAGTACTTGGCTACTGCTAGAGACCTGGCCACTGTTTACAGTTTCTATATTAGTTACCTTGCTAGTGTCTATGACCTGGCCGTGGTTTAAAGTTTCTGTGTTAATACCTGGCCACTGTTTACAGTTTCTATATTAGTTACCTTGCTAGTGTCTATGACCTGGCCGTGGTTTAAAGTTTCTGTGTTAATACCTGGCCACTGTTTACAGTTTCTATATTAGTTACCTTGCTAGTGTCTATGACCTGGCCGTGGTTTAAAGTTTCTGTATTAATACCTGGCTACTGTTTACAGTTTCTGTGCTATTACCTGGCTGCTGCTAGAAACCTGGCCAACAAGTCTGTAGTTCAGCATGATATTCTAGTGAGTTGTACCCATCCCAGTAAGGGCACACATGGCCATATACCACTTGTGCTCTGGTGTCATGGATACAAATTTGCTTGGAGCATGGATGTCTCTTCATGTTTTTCTCTGCTGTCCTGTCTTGTAAGTGTAGAGCTCCTCCATCCAGGGAGGGTACAAACATCAGTGGACTCCTCCGCAGTGCCTGAAGGGTACTGCCCTTGTGAGTGTTTAGACCTTATCATGCTGAGCCTATGGGCAATATAGTTTGTGAGTGCAGTGATGAGGAAGCGGGCTTAGTGACTGTGGAGTCTGTAGTATTCATAGAAAATTAGTTTGGGCTGATGAGTGCAGTGAAACTTGTGGAGCTCTTGGTATCCTGCAGGAGTCACAGCCATAAGACCTACTGTAGACCATTAGGATCGAGAGACAGACTGTTAGAGTGGTTTGTATGCTACACATGCTATGTCACTTTGTTCCAGGTCCATGCTATTTACATACATATCTACATATTTCTTGGCTGTATGATTGGTCTTACCTTGTTCGTTGGAGTTGTGATTGCTAACTACTCAGAAAACAAAGGAACTGCACTTCTCACCGTGGATCAGAGACGATGGTAAAGAGTATACAGACACACACTCACTCACGGTTACATGCATTTGTTGTGTAAACAGAAAAGTATGAATGTGGTAACTTTTTTCAAGTTAATTCATTGTCATTGTGCATGCTACTTAGTAAACCAGTTCTTGAGGGTTCTTGTGATAGTATGTTGTGGCTGGTGTAACTTAGTTTCTGGACTTTGTCCGTTGTCTAGTATTCCAGACAGAAGGTGGATGTGTGTGAAGGTGGGAGGTGCATCCTGTGTGGGATCTGCTGAAGAGAGATCTGGTGAAGTTAACTCCTGTTGGTGGAGCCACTATCTGTATTCATCCCCACCATTTCACTTGGTGTTGAAAAGAGATTTCATTTCCGAAATGTGTTCTGTTCAGAATACTAGATGATCGACAGTGTCCAGGAATCCAGTGACGCTAAGTAGCAGTTTCTGTTTGTAAAGGAATTTTTCTTCCTGAGTGATGTTAGTAAATAAAGAGGTGAATGGTGACAATCATGACAGTACCAGGTCCCATTATGCTGCAGTTTGTCTGCTAAAGAACATGGATGTATAAATATTGCAGCTATGCATGTTTTGGTTTTAAGGTGTGATTTGAAGAAACGTCTGAAAATTGCCCAGCCTCTGCACTTGCCACCAAGACCAGATGGGAAGAAATTCCGTGCCTTTATATATGATATTACACAGAACATTTACTTCAAACGGTTTATTGCTGGCATGGTTCTCATTAACAGCAGTTTGCTGTGTGTGTCTGTAAGTTGATCTCATTTCTAATTATTGTCTTGAAATGTAAAGCAACTAATAATAGTGATTTATCTTCCCCATTGACACACTTCTGAGCCAAGTTTATCCACTTCTCATCCTCAACCTATTTCCCTAAGATGGGGGCACCATCCTACAAGTGGGAGGTCACATTTCTATTCCTGATAATATTATTGGATTTTTAAATTGACCTAATCCTTCAAGCTGCACTATGACCCTGGGATTGACATAGCTTCTAACAGAAATGAGTACCAGAAATCTTCAAGGGGTAACCAGCGCATAATACTAACAACCTCACTTCCATCTGTGAGCCTTGATATCTCACAACCCTGTGGCTTCTATGGCCTCTTACAGGGATAGCTTAGCCTTTTTTTTTTTCTTTGCCGTACCATCTTGAAAGTCCCCTTTATCTTCCAACTGATGTCCTTCCAAGAAGTTTCTCTGCCACAAATTTGGCATGCATTTCTTGTCTCCATACAAGTTACATATGTGGCCCCTGATAGCCTCCTGCATTTCACTGTCCTAACAGTTATTTCATCCTATGGGCAGTTCCTCCCACACACAAATTATTTGCATCAGTCGGTTGTTGTACTCTGTATTGTTTCATACAGTTAACTTTAACTGTGTACTGAAATGCACATTCTGTGTCATCACATTGACAGAACTTACTGTTGTGGTTTTCATAGTTTTAAAATGATGATGGTGTTACCTTCTAGTGGCGAGAAGAGGAATCACATACAGACCCGCTGGCAACCTTCAGCACCGTTCTGACACTGGTATTTGTGGTTGAAGTTGTGATGAAAAACATCGCCTTCACTCCACGCGGATATTGGCAGTCAAGGCGGAACCGTTACGATCTCTTGGTCACTGTCCTGGGCGTGGTGTGGATTTTCATCAATGCCACTCTCAGAGTAAGTGAAGCCCAGCACTGAGCACACCAGAGACATGGGTTTGGAAGTGGGGAGCAGCATTCGTGACAACCTGCAGTCATTTCTGAATGGCCCTCCATTCAGTGGGTAGTGGGGGTTCTTCTTGTAGTCTTAAAGTGACCTGATTGACCACTGACCACTGCCTAGAATAGATCCATGTGCACAAGAGAATCATTACCTTTTAATTCTATATAAAGATGTGCTGTGGAGGTTTACTGTCTTATGAGATATGATGCCATATAGTTTGGTAGAAGTTTACTGCTTCACCAGGGTTGAAGAGTAAGGCAGGAAAGCGACCAGCAAGCAGAGTGAAGGCCTGGAAGCAAGAGTATTACATTGCCCTCTTCAAGGCCAGCAGTTGTTACTCCAGCTTCCTCTGGGCTGTGCCTCAACCAGGTTTCCCATGAGTGGCTTGCTCTTCAACGCTGCAGTCAGTGAGCTTCTACCAGACCATGCCATGGCATCATCGAGGACAGCACCCTTCACTGTTACATCCGTGAGGAACTTTCAGATCCAACAAAGAAATGCCACTCATTTGTTTCAGAATGATCTGTCATATTCGGTCGGATTCATGGTGGTGATCTTGCGCTTTTTCACAATCACGGGGAAGCATGCCACGCTCAAGATGCTGATGCTGACTGTCGGTGTCTCAGTTTGCAAGAGTTTCTTTATCATCTTTGGCATGTTTCTGCTTGTGTTCTTCTATGCCCTCGCTGGGACAATCCTGTTCGGTACTGTCAAGTATGGCGAGGGAATAGGAAGGTAGGTTCAGTCTGTGTGGATCTGTTTTCATCTCAAATTCTTTGGGGCGAATCCCTTGCAAAAGATACTGAGTTTCATGAATAAGGTAAAGTTTTGAACTGCAGAAGTAATTGAGATTACTTTTCACGTTGCAGCTAGTAGCATGATGTCATCTTGACAGTACAGTTTATTAATTTAATTTCATTTGCAGTATATTCTTTTTAGAAAAGTACTTTAATAGAAAGAGATCTGGACATGTACCTTGGATGGGGTGTGCAGGATTTTGAAGTGTTCAGGAAACACTTGGAAGACATAGATCAACATGGAGGTTAGCATTAACATTTTCTTTAGGGAAGTACAGTGAGAGTGACAGTTGGATGGGACTGAGGATTATGCCCATTAGACCAGTTAATTAATATTGCAGCCTTCTGGGATGTAATATTATGTGGTGTAGTTTTACCAGTAATTTCCCATGAGCTAGTGTTCAAGTGATTTGCTTGTTGTAAAGTGTTACATCAGTCACACAGCAGGTGATACATTTCAGGCGAGCAAACTTTGAGTCCCCTGTGACTGGGGTTGCCATGCTATTCCGAATTGTGACAGGGGAAGACTGGAACAAGATTATGCATGACTGCATGGTTCAGCCTCCGTACTGCACCCCAGCAAATAATTATTGGGAGACAGACTGTGGGAACTTCACTGCTTCACTCGTATACTTCTGCTCATTTTATGTTATCATTACTTACATCGTGCTGAATCTCCTGGTTGGTAAGTGCATTGATTTATGTTGAGTGTGGTTGTTGCTGATGAAAGAATTGAGGTTTCCATGGAAATCATGACAATTATTGTAGTCTTCTAGGTTGTACCACTGTTTCAGATGAATGTAATGCTTCCATCTTCAGGCCAAAGATGGAGGCATTATGTTGCCCAAAAATGTTGGTACTCACCTCCCAATGTCATATCTCAGAAGGGCACAGTATCAGTTCTGTTGTGTGGCTGCAGCAACCAGTTGCTGTGTCAACCCCTACACCCTCTGTGATAGTCATTGTGGTCTGTATCTTGTGACTGAATTAACTTTATGGGAGTAATATTCATTTGCCTTTTTATTAGCCATCATCATGGAGAATTTTTCCTTGTTCTACTCCAATGAAGAAGATGCTTTGCTTTCTTATGCCGATATCCGAAACTTTCAAAATACGTGGAATGTTGTGGATAGCCATCAGCGTGGAGTTATTCCTGTTCGAAGAGTAAGTAAACAACATGTGGTATATAAGATTTTCACAGAGGTGAAGATTTAGACTGTGATCTTCTGAGTCGACGCCGTGTAGCCTTAGCCTGGTAGATTACCATCTCTGTTTCGGAGGAACCTGCTGTCTCCATCATCAGGATGGATGTACCTGCCAGACTGCATGCTGTCATAACGTCAGAATAATAAAGTCAATGAAAAATCCGTCGAGTGTAACAATGTTTTTAGGTCACTTCTTTATCTCACTTGCCTTACATGTTTCGGTTTAAGAAAACCATCATCAGAGGCACATATTACAAACACATGAAAACACTGGCGTTGTTTAATGTACACAGTATATATGCTGCGTGGACGCTGCTACAAATGTCGAAGTGTAAAAGCACAACACTTTCTAGGAATATTGAATGCACGTTCAACTCTTGCATTCCATCCGAAAATTGCCCTCAAATTAAACCGTCAATGTTAAAATATTTAAAAGTTTAAAACATTTGAAGTAAAATGTTAGGCTCCTTCTTGTTAATTCGTCCCGATGATGGGAGATGTCAACTTGAGGTTGTGTAGGCTTATGGTCAGATGTTTCCTACGCGTTGTGTGTTGTGTACTGCAGAAGTGACCTAAAAACATTGTTACACTCGACGGATTTTTCATTGACTTTGTGGTTGATAGTGTAACGGACCAAAAATGAAACAATTCGAAACAATTCAGAATAATAGCTGACTTATTTACAAATATGTTTCCAGTTTGGTTGGAATGAAAAATTACCCTCACGCTAAAGGATGTAGCTCTTAACCCTAAGGGAAAGGCAGTTCGGAAATCATGATATGGGGAGTGAATTCATGGCAGATGAAGTAGGTTGTCATGGCAGTAACATTTCACGTCCTGGATGTATTTAGTTTGATTCTCAGCTGGGAACTAGTTGTCCTGTTCCACTGCTGTTTTACTGAGCCATGAATGAGGGAAGATTGGTTGAGTGACTCTTTGTTTAGCTGATGGTGCTTCTTCTACTCTCTAGATTACGTTATGTAGCTCTGTACCATTGGATAGTTTATGCAGTGAATTGGAAGGGATGTCAGGGAATGGGCCTGGTCTATGTTCATGTACTGATAATTGCTTAAAGAAACTCAGGAAACCAAGAAGAGGCTCATTCAGAATAGCTGTCTTCTGGGCTGAGGTTTGAACTTAGGACCTCCTGGATACAAAGGAGTGGTAACCATTGGACTGTGATATGAGAAGCCATTAAGTTCATATAATTAACCCTTTAAAGCCTTAAGCTCATCTAAATATACAAAAATTTAGTCTGTACCTCAGAGGAAATGCAACCTTGCATCTCCATGGCAACGACCAACCGGTTAATGCTCTTTTGGGAAACAGTTGCTGTTTATTGTGAGAACCATATGGAACACATACACTATGGGCAGAATTCAAAGCTTTAATGTGTTAAAGCAGGCGGTACTCATAATGACCACTGTGATTTGAAGTGTTGAGGTAGATGACATAATGAAGTTCACATGCTACATACAGTGACTGCTGCTGCAATTTTATGTTTGCTGCAGGTGAAGTTCATCCTGCGACTGCTGAAGGGAAGACTTGCAGTGGATCCTCAGAAGGACCGGCTTCTCTTCAAGCACATGTGCTACGAACTGGAACGTTTACACAACGGTGAAGATGTTACTTTCCATGATGTCCTGAAGTGAGCACATGCATTGTGATTATTGTTTTCAACACATTACTTTGATAATCCATCCAGCAGTATAATCTGAAAGATCAGCTGTTCACATCCATTACAAGCAACATGAAGTTAGACTGGTGATCATGTTCACAGAACCTGACCTTAATATTTCAAGTTGTCAGTACCAGGAGACAAGAATGTTAACCACTGAATTTTCAAGCCTTAACCAGCAGGTTTACTCAGGTACAAGTAAACATGAATGTGCAGTAAGACCAGAGAAGGGGCATCACTGCACACCTAACTGGTTGGGGTGGCAAGCACACAGCAGTCAGCAGTCCTGGTTTCAGACTGGGAAGGACACATGGCAGTTCTGCTCCTCAGTGCATTCAGTTGCAGGGGCTCGCTTTGCTAAGGCCAGAGTTCATCTGAGTAATGTAGAAGTTTAGTTCCTACCTCATAGATAACACATTTCATCTTCATTACAAAGACCAACCAGTTAATGTTGTTTAGGGGAGTAATCACTGTACAAAAAACACAAATACAGTGGAACCTCTATGTAAGATTTGAGGCTTTCACGGCGGTGACTATGAAGAAAGCAGTCTTCTGGGATTTGGCACCGTGTATATGTGGTGTTAACCGACGTTTCGGAGGAACGTATCGCCCCCATCTTCAGGGTAGAAGAAAAAGTATAAGAATTCTGCAAGCGACAACACCGNTTTAATGTTCAGTTTCAGTGATTAGATTTGCCTTATTCAGGTCCACTGGTCCTCAAAATGTGGTTTTGCTATGCACTGTAAACAGCAAAGTTTTTTAATGCTAAAGCTGGTTGTATATACACTAATCACTTTGCTTTAAAGGATGAACCTTTTTCGTGTGGTTGTAGCATGCTGTCATATCGATCCGTGGACATACGGAAAGCTCTTCAGTTGGAGGAGCTGTTAGCTCGAGAAGAATTTGAGTATATCATTGAGGAAGAGGTTGCAAAGCAGACAATAAGAACATGGCTTGAAGGCTGTTTGAAGAAGATACGGGCAACCAGTGTGAGTATTACTGTGTGTTGGTGCAGTGCAGAGCCAGTTGTTTACTGTGCAATTGTACTGTGCATGTGTTTCATGTGCGTTGCAGAAGCAGCAGAACAGTCTCATTGCTGGACTGAGGGCAACCAACGAACAGCTGACAACAACCGTGCAAGATCATCATCCAGAGGACAAACTGAAAGACAACAGCCTAGACAGAGACAGTGAAGGGGAGCCAAAGGTAAGTAGTTATTGCAGTCCTCCTGTATGGAGCCACTTCATTCTGCCAGCAGGAATCTACCAGTCATGATCACATGCTGAGCGTTATACCTTCTTTGATATCTCTTCTAACGGGCTGTGCACAGAAGCAACAGACAGCAAGAGTTTTGTGTTTTCCCATACCAGAGTACCTTCCCCCCGCTTTCATCTCTGTATGAAAATTAGTTTGTAGCAGGTGTCAGTGATGCTGGAAATGAAAAGGATGGCAAAGGATTAATTGGTCATGCTAGGATGACTTGACGTGTGGATACTGAGACACCTTCATTTCTGATCCACACTGCAGGCACTTCACATTTTTGAACCAACATTACTTTTGTTCATACTTTCAATGTGTCAAGCAACATGTGTAGTGGTGCAGGATTTGAAGTCCTCACAGTAGTGTTTGTGAAGAGTCCTTCCTAGCTTCTGGGACATGACACTGTGTAGTCCATTGAAAGTCAATCTTGTTAGCTAAGGGGACAGAACGCTTCACATTTACTGGTGTCCGAGAGAGTGATATGTTGTGAAACATTTTTATCTCTTTCACATTCCATTTTAATTGGTTTCTGTTAAATCTGCTGAGATAATTTTAGTTGTGTTTGCATCAAAGAGTTGCAAAAGTGCACTTTTAGATTTGCTGTGTCAGTCCACACATAACAACTCGAGAAGTGGTGACAGATTTTTGTGGAATTTAATTAAAATCTGCTGAATAATACAACTTCAGCATTTGACACTAATTATTATATGGAGCAATTAAATACTGCTTCCAAGCAAAGTTGTAGGGAAAACTGAAACACACTTCCTGGAAAAAGTGCATTGGACTAGAACCTGTTTTCATTTTTCAAAGTAGTGAAAGATGAGGGATTACTGTCTGTCTGATTTTGATCATGTTTCATTTTGTATGTCACATATTTTCAGAAATTTGGCAAACCATCTCAAATTTCATAAATATCACTGCATTAGAAGCGGTACTTCATGTATGAGCCTAAATATAGATGTGAATATACTAGAACTCTTATGGTATGTGTACCTTTCCTAGCTTCTTTTTCTTTTGCATTCCCTAACACATTACTTACATATAAAGCCGTCAGGTACTGACACCTGTCGAAAAATAAGTGAACTACAAGCTGGTGTGTGATGAGTATCACTGACCACAATGGTATCCACCCACATGTGCAGCAGAGAGCACTGAACATGTGGTCTAGATTGTTACCCACTGTTTGTTCCCAAAACATAAGCAAGGCTAATGTGTAATTGCTGTGATTTGTTTGTGGTTGTAGGATGTTGAAGGTGCTCGACTGCGTGCAAATAAAAAAGGTGTCGTGATTCCTCGTTCTGACAGTGTTGGTAGCGGGTCTGGGAGGAAGTACCTAGCTCCTACGTTATCTGATCCAGCCGTTCGAACAGAGAAGGAACGCTCTGGTGCTAAGAAGAGGAACAATAGGCCACAAGGTGAGTATATGTGTACATGTACCTGTTTCACTTATAGTGTTTACCTTAATACATAGGTCTCAGCCATAATTATATACAGTAAGTTCTTGCTTAACATTGTTCCACTAATGTTTTATTATTACATCATTGTTCAGGTGTTACTAGTGGTACTACATCACAGCAGATTCTGCATGTCACAGTAGAACTGGTGCAGTGTGTCAGCCTCCATTTAATTTCACTTTATGTAACATTACGATTTACAAGGACAAAACCACAGTGTTAAATAAGTACCTACTGTAATTTGTATTGTATAAGTTTCTCCCAAACCTTATTGTTCAAGTATAACTGTCTGGCATACCTGCTCACTTGTATGGTAGTGTTCTCCCACCCCTCTTCCTCCCATCAATGCATACCCTGTTGTGAGTGTTCTAGTGTTTGTTGGCAAATTGTGTGCGATTATGACGTGCAATAAGTTCATTGGTTTCTCATTGCAGCTGGTAGCAAGAATAACTTGCCCCATTTAACAGAAGGGCCTGAACCGAGTCGTCTGATGCGAGACATCTCTGCCAACAAGACAGCAATGCCCAAAGTTTCCAATGTTCTCATGGAGGTCAGAGACTGGTGGCATGAACAGCTTGGGTACAACACGCAGTCCAGTGATGAAGATAATTTCTGAAAGTCAGACATGCTTTCATTTTAACTCTAAAAGCAACTGTTTAAATCCCTCTAATGCAAGACAGACGGAGCTTTGTCTTGAAGAAATACAACTCAAAATTCTCTACACTGTAGCCAAAGAAGGGAATAGTAGAGATGAAGTTTGTGCAGAATTTTGAAAGACAAGAAAGAGGGAATAAATTCATGTTGTGGTCTAGCGGGGTATGACACCATGTATTCTGGTAGGTTTCAGAGGTACCTCCTGCCTCCATCTTCAGTGTGTGTGTGTGTGTGACACAGTGTCATAATTCAGAAGGCCACAATGTAAATCATCACTGCCGTGAAAACCTCAGAATCTTAGAGAAGTGAAGGAAGGAATAGAAATGAAAGGCTGAAAAGAATGTGCGCAGGCAGAGGAGGTGGAGGAGGAGGAGTGCTGTGGGATGGTAGAGAAGAGTGGAGAAGGCTTTCTCATAGGACTGCCAGCCAGTGACTGCCAAACAGAAGTTTATTGCTTCCTCAGTTGGTCAACTTGTCAACTTATGAAGGTGCCACCACATTATGGCTGAGCAGTAAGTGTTGCAGGATACAACACTGTGCAGTCTGGTGACAGTAAACCAATGTTTCAGAGAAACATAACTCCATTTTCAGTGCCAAAGATTAAGACAAGAAACCAGCATGAAACATGGACTGAATTTCACTGGGCTATATTTGAAAAGACCTCGTCATGATTCTAAGTGTTTATAACAATGCTTTTGTGCTGCTGATTTTCCTCAAAGAACTAGGGCAGAAAACTGTGCACCGTTTCTCTACAACCGGAGATAAAGCCAAGTACATTTTGATGTTTCATTTCTAGAATGGCGTATGAAGCCATAAATAACATAGAGGCATAACAGACTGTAGGATTTGAGGTTCTGACAGTGGTGGTTATGAGGAGCTGTAACTTCTGGCATGTGTGACAGTGTTTCCTAGTCGTAGTCAACCAACGTTTCAAAGGAACATACTGCGTCTGTCTTCAGGGCTGGGAAGCCAAGCAAGAAACTAGCATGAAGCAGGCAGCAAGCTAGACTTCCACTGGACTACAGTCATGTTATATCCCAGAAGCTAGAACACAAAGACCTTGTTCTTGAGATTCTTTGACATTTATTACTAATTTGCACAAGACTTCAGTGCAGTATCTCTTGAATAGACGTCTGGCCAGTTGCTGTTCTCTCAGTAGAAAGGTTTTCTTTCAAATGGACTAACATTTATTATGCACAGTGACACAAGATTGCATTTAACTTGTTTCACAAAGAGCGAGGCTATGGGGAAAATGGTAATGTAAAACTGCATTAATTTGAAATGTGTTATAAATTAAAAATGTGAATTCTGAATTAAATAAATTCACATTGTGTAATTGTCTTTGCAGACTTAACCTGCTGAACATTGTGCTCATAATAAAAGAATCAGAAATCGTGAGAAATGTATTTTTTATTCGAGATGCACAAATTTCTCAGAATTCAAATCCGAAGATGTGCAGACAAAGCAGCTACTTTCTGGCCACAGTTGCACCAGGCAAGACAATTTGTAGTTCTCTACATATTTTTATTAAGGAAAATGAAATGAGCAGATGTAGCATGCAATGGGGAAATGAAAAATGAATACAAAATTTTAACCACAAAACCTGAAGGGAACAGACTAATGGAAGACATAACCATAGACAGGAGAATGATACAGAAAACAACTGCAATATTTATGCCATCGCTTGCCAGTTCCAGTTACAGTAAAGGATGTTCTTTGTGCAGTAGAGGGTTCAGCAGTCAGTAGAATTCCTGCCTTTGCAGAACCCAAAGGTTCATTACCGTGTTCACAAAAGACTACAGTCAAACTATCTTCTCAGACAATTTAGTCCTGCATTCCAGTTCTCTCAAATGAACTTCAATATTATCCTAAAATATATATGCATCTCATTTCTCTAAACAGCATTAACCAGTTAATCTTTGTAATGGATACATACAGTGTTTCTGTAAGGTAGGAACTAATTTTTATATATTATTTGTTCAGATTTCTCCAAAAAACTATCTGGTTATGCCCAAAAATTTTGAGAAGTAACATTCTGACAGTAATTTTGTGAAAATGTGTGTGTCCTGCATTCTCTTTTTAGAATGTGTTCTACAACCGTCATATTATTCCCTCATAGCCTTTAGTTTATCTAAATAGCTTTAAAATGAAATACTCAGTCCCTGTCCCACTGCATCCCCACAACAAAGACAACCCAGTTAGTGATATTTACAGAAATAATCAGTCTATTGTAAGAATTATATAAAACATAAATACACTATGAGCAAAAATTTTTGTAAGCCATACAAAATAAACTGAATTCACAGCCCACAAGTTTGTGTTATGATTATGTGTTCTGTGTTTCACTGGTTTAAAATTATGTGTAGAAGATTTCAACAATTACAGAAAAAAAAAGTAAATGCCAAGTGAAAGTGGAAATGAATTGAGTATGAGTATGAGCATGAGGGGTGAGCCATAAAAACCAGCCCTTGCACGGCGACCTTCAGTGATTATTGTGCTTCCCCTTTGGATTAACCCTTTATTAATCCTACACTTCGAATGAAATGTAGGACTTTATTTATGGGGCATCATAAAAGTCACTTGGTTCCATGAAGAACTGGCCCAGGTGGTGATATCTTAGGTAAGCTATAGCCTCACAATCCCATAAGATGTGTGTGACTGATTCATCTTCTTGTAGGCACCTTTCACAAGTTCGGTCATCTGTCAGTCCCAGTTGGAAAAGGTGCCCTTTTAGGTGGTAGTGTTAAAGTCACATGTATTACAGTTGGAGCTGATTATTTCAATGGTTATGTCATTATGAAACATGTGATGATTGTGAACTATGAATTTTGAAGAACAGAGAAAGTCGTCATGACATATTTTATGGTAACAGTCTGCAATGTATATAAAAGAATTAAGAAAAACCACAAAACTTCAATCCACACAGTGAATGGTTAGAGATTGACTCCTGGGATTCAATTCTTTAACAACTGCAGGAATGTTTCTCTTCTCAAATTCAGACCAGTTCTTGAGCCCCTAACTTCCCAACCAAGTACAGAGGCTGGAATGTGAAGATGATCTCTATCTAGTGCCAAGTCTAGAATGCTATGTTCTATACACAGACGCACTTCGGTTTGAAGAATTGAAGACTAATAATATAATAACAATAGTGAAGTCTGTAACACATTGAATGCTGTATTGAAATGCAACTTCCAAGTCAAAGTCACATTTTGACTGATGGTCAGTCAGTCTGTCTTGGTGTTGAGTTTTTCTTATATGAAAGTTACTGTCCTGTACATTTGGGGCGCCCTCTCTGACGAGAGGTTCAGTCTGTCATTTGTCAGTCATAGTCCGTATTAGTAAGTCCATTGTAAGTATTTACATATATTTACAAATTTAATCTTAATTCCTATTTCTATGTACAATATATACAAGTCCTCTGACACCAGATCAATTCAAAATTGGTCTGGGATTGTCACCAAACCCTCATGGAACTGGCCAAACATAACAGGGTACAACTGATATGGGTGCCGGGGCATGAGGGTATTGCTGGAAATGAAGTAGCAGACCAGTTAGCTAAAATTGGAGCTGAACACCCGTTCATAGGACCTGAACCAGCCTGTGGCATCTCCCTAGAAGTTGCCAAACAGGCAATCAGGGACTGGACTAACATAAAACATAAGAAATACTGGGAATCCTTAACTGGACTCAGGCAAGCTAAGGAACTCATACGAGGACCTTCTGATAAAAGAGTGAAGGAACTGTTGAAGCTCAACAGGAACCAGCTACGATGGGTGGTAGGACTACTTACAGGACACTGTCACCTCAAAGGACACCTGTTCAAACTGGGGCTCCCACTTGTGAGAGGTGTCAGATAGAAAATGAAACAGCCACACACGTCCTGTGTGAATGTGAGGCTTTAGCTTCTTTAAGACTACGTCACTTGGGTCAGTACTTTATGGAACCAAGTGACTATTTCGACGCCCCCCACGTCCAAAATCCTGCGCTTCATCCGAAGCGTGGCGTTGCTGAGGGAATAATTAAAAAAGGGGAAGCACAATGGACCACTGAGGTCTAAGTGCAAGGGCCGAGTAGGCCTACCCCTTCATACATACAAGGCCTCTGTCAATCGAGGCTCAGTACAGCAGATTATGCCCTATTTCTAGTAATATTGGCTACCACAGTAGTCTAGTCACTTGAACGGTCATATGCCTGACCGCCGCGAAGTTTAAGCCTCTTGTACTTTCTGTGTCGTGCTTCGCCTTGTCCGATGTTGCGAACATTCTCATTTTCATGATTTTGTATGACTTCTGCTTGTTTCTTGCATAATTTTGTTATACAGTGGAACCTTGCTTAACGAGCACCTCTCATAACGAGTAATTCACATATCGAGCAAAACAAATTGTAAAAAAAAAATGACTCACTTAAGGAGTGATGAGAGGGGAAGTCCCGGGTTGTGCACTTGCTACATCAGTCTGTGTTTAGCACTCGTTCCGCTAGCATCTTAGTGTCGCTTGTGGTCACACATTTTTTGAAACTTGTGTTCAGACATATTATTTGTGATTTGTTTTGTGCAAATTTTAATAACCCTTGCAAAAATGTCCCCGAAGAAAAAGCCACAAAAAAGACAGCCATAAGAAAATAAAAATAACCGTAGAACTGAAACGTAAAATCACTGAAAAGCTAGAATGAGGTGTGAGCGTGGCTGATGTAGCACGCACATGCAATCGGTCTACATCAGCGATTTGGAGTTGCATTGTTTCACAGCAAGAAGTTGTGGAGGAGAGCTTGTCGGAGGAGGAGGAGGTAAGAGCAAAGCAACAATCTTCTGGCGCAATAAGAGAAATGCTGAAAGCATGGGAAACTGTTGCATCATACATTGAGAAGCATCACCCTAATAAGGCAGTGGCTATGTGCGCTACAAATTTATTTAATGATAATGCTGTGTCGCATTTTCACCAAATTTTGAAGTGCCAGCAAAGACAAATGTTTCTAGACAGCTTTCTAGTAAAAAAGAATTAGATGAAGCCCGGTAATGTGCCATGGTTAGCAGCAGGCCAACCTTGAATAAGCTCGGATGAGCGGATCATTGGGGAGGAGGAAGAGGAGGAGTGTTTTGCCGAAGGCAAAACGAACAAGTAACCAGTTGATGATTTCAGTGCGGGGAAGGCGAGAAGAGACAATGGAAGGCAGTTTAGAATTGAGCGTAAGTGGTGATCACAGAGATAATTGGGACGTTGTAGAATTGAAGGAATTTGGACAAGAGGAAAGATAAGGGTTATAATGTCACGCGATTAATTAAGAGCGAGAATACAATAGATCTAGCCGTGAGATTAGAGTATTTGGAGAGTGATCAGATGCTGTATGATTACGATATAACATCCATCAGAAGATAGTATGCTAAAGAATGTATTGGACGTAGGTTTCGATAGGGCGGTAGTAGTAAGAGATAATGTAATAAAGAATTTTTATGTAGATATTCCAGATGAATTAGAAGAGGAGGTTAGAATTCCTCTATTGGGAGCAAGACAGACAATGTTCGATAATTTTGAGGGTTTAAGGCGAAGGATAGGAGATAAGAGTCCGCCCGATAGTAAGACAGTTACAGATAAATCGTGGGAAATACGAAAAATTACAAGAAGATGACGAAGAGTATTATAGTTTGTTGAGTGATAATCCAGAAGAAGAGTAGGAGATATATAATAGAGCGACTAAAATTATAAACATTGTGGATAATGATAAGCATTTTAGAAAGCACAGTACTATGCAGCAATTCAAGATAGCGGTAGTTAATTTTGAGACATATATATTGAATTTAAAGCAGAAATTTGTTTCAGGTATGAAATGGCAACCGCTAGGTAATAGTCGACTTTTACGTCTTCCAAAAAGTGGTAATGATTTGGCGTATAGTCTAACTTTACAGAGTAACGCTGTAAATCAACAATTAGGATTCCAGATGTTTCAAAGTTTTAAGAAGAGAAATAACGCTCTCAGTAAATTGGCGGAAGAAGTACTTAAATATCACAAGACAAATAATGAACTCATGGACAAATTACGAGATGAATTAAGAATATTAAAAAAGGACAAGAATTTTATTTATACTAATTTCTATGACAAGTGGAAACAAGTGTTAAAGGAACACGTGCGTTCTGAAATAGACCAGCAGCTGTTCAAATTAACATCACACAAAGAAACATCTGCTGTTGATTTGACATTGCCGGGTCATCATTATTTAGGTCCGGGTAGTAAATTAGAAGAGAACAAAGAACCTTCAAATGAAAGAGACCAAATAGCTTATTTACATGACTGGGAATATTTCCTGTCATTACATAAAGAGGACGTAAGCGAAGCAGATTACGAGGCAGTAAATAACTTCGGTAAATTATGGGAGAAACATACTGACGTGTTAGCTAAATTCAGTGAATTGTCTCTTCGCGCAAAAACACTCGCAGAAGCAATATTTGGTATATCAATATATCCCTATAACTTGTAAGTATGCCTAGAGGCATACCGACTCTGGTTAAACCTTGGACAAGAAATAATTGGAATAATTTAAATAGAGGGCAAAATTGTTCGCTATTCAAGAATGGCAAAGTTACCTTGCTAGAATCGGCGATAGAATACTTGATTTACCACAAGATATTGCCGATAACTGTAATATAAATGTAAATTTTATCTGCAAGAAAGCTACAAATATATTATCTTCTCTTTGGACAGACCGAGGAGATCAACAACAACAACGAACAGCACCAGATGGAGAGCAAGAAAGAAGAGAAACGATCTCCCCTACTTCAACTACAGCAGAATCAGAAAGATCAGAGGAAGATACCGCATCCTTCAGAGGTTTCGCTTCAACAACCCCAACTCCATTGCCAGATTTTCAAGGATTCAACTCCCAGAACGAGGACGGATCGCTTCTGTCGGATGGTTATCAGCGACTTCTAGAGATAATTAACGAGTTAAATGCCTCTAACGGACATGAAGCACCACCAGTCTTGCGACCGCAGCGCTTACATGTTCGAACGAGCAGAGCTGCTGATCAATCTCTACCTAATATATCTCTTCATATTGACGATCAACATCACATTCAAGACGATCATACAGGTGACATCACCGATTCTCAAGATATTCAAGAAGAACAAGAAAATAGCAGATTGGACCAATTAAGTGGACCTGAAATACCTGTTCCATATATACACGATCTATTAAATTCTTTCGTAGATGAGGGTGAAGTGTGTTTCCATCGTTGTACTCGTAAGATACATGTTATGTGTGCAATATGAGCAGTGAAACACCAAAGGGAACGAGACTGCAACCTGTCGGTTATGCTCCTTCGACATCAGATAATAGCAGCACAGGAAAGATAGGAGGTAAACGAAGAAGATGGCAACCCCGAGGAGCTTTGGCGGACGATCAATTGACGAGACAAGGAAGTGTGGGAGGTGTTGATACAGGAGGTACAGGTGATGTCGCCATCTTGAGTGCTCCTATCGATTCCAATAAGTGTTACATGACTTATCATAAGACTTGCAAATTTTATTCTAAACCTTTTGCTAGACGAGTGTTACAGATACCTGGAACGGCTAAATTAGATATCTTAACGACATCTATGGCATACTTTCCAATAAATTTCTTGTGGATGTACATGTCTCCTGTGGAATATTCCGTATTGCCAAATGAAGAGGTGTATGCGGTGAGTTGTTCGCAGAGATTAGAACTGTTAAATGGTAGAACTAGTTTTCAAGCTACGTTTCTGATGTTACTACTGCTACACAGAATAATCAATTGTATTGTAGCGTGTTTTGTGTGTCACGCTACAAATAAGTTCACGCCGCCGTTTGGCATAGCGAGTTTATTCCTTCGCTCGTTTTACATGCTTTACAATCATTCCCGTCTGCAGTGTCACAATCACTGCTTACAATAACTCGGCGATGCTGGACTATCTCTTCTGGCGGTTATCCCAAGACTGGCTCCCAAGATGGCTCGATCACGACTGGCTTCTTAGCTGGCTCAATGAAGACTGAAGACTTGTCGTCGAAACTGGGCTTTTATAACCTTGGCCGCTGTTAGGCAACGAACCCTCTGTTATAACCATGGAGACTCCTGTTAGAACTACAATGGAGCAATTGTTGTCTCCTCTGTAACGGTCTATTCTAGCGTTTCCATAGAAGTGATTCTTCTGGATTCCAGACACGTTACATTGCTCCCTTCTAAAGGTTGTTCGTCCCCGAACAGCCTAAAGGTTCTCCCTCTGTTTTGATTCCGCGGTGTTCTGTTGGCAACGTCTGCAATCGGCCTTGGTGTCCTTTGCAAGTCTTATTGCGCTGCTTATCTTACCACATCCGCCCCTCTCTTCAGCTGTGCTCATCCCGAGCACTTCCATAGCCGAGAATTTGTTGGTCTCGTTGTCTTGCCTCACATTCATTCTTCCCTTTCATTCGTCCCACATTCGTTCCCTCTGGGGAGGCCGGTCCTTCTATTACCGGTTCCTCCCATAAGGGCCATCTCCTTTCTTCCGTTTCGGAGGGGGTTGACCCCTCCACAGTGTCCAATTTTTCGCCGTAAACCTGATAACTTGTTTTGTGTTCTTCACGTTGACAGCCTCGTAGGGGATCTTCTCTCGTGTCCCTCTCCTTCCTGGGTGCGGTCGCTGTCTTGGCCTGCCCCCTCCGATGCCCTTCTTGGTTGGCAATTTTTTTCTCTGGCATAGCGGCTGTCTGCCACCTATCATCTTTATCCCTTTCGTTCTTGTACGCTGGCATCCGAAGGTTCCCTTGGGAGCTTCCTTCTTGAAGTCTTTTCTCCAACGTCGTTCCACTCTCGCGCGACGGGATGTCTTCCTGTCTGTTGGCGTTCTATATGCCGCTTCCACACGGCATGTTATCGCTTTGCGGGCGACGGCCAGTTTCTTCCGCTGGCATCCAAAGGTTCCCTGGGGAGTTTACCTCTTGGAGTCGCTTCTCCAACGTCGTGCCACTGTCGCGCGACGGGATGTCTTCCTGCTTGTGATGGCCAATTCCTTTTGGGGTTCACCAATTGCCCGCGTTGAATTCTTTGCTTTCTGGCCGCGGCGCTCCGCGGCCAGTTTCCGGTCCCTACGCCGTTTCTTCGGTTCTCTGACCAGTATTCTCGTGGCGTCTTCCGCGGGGACTTCTCGATGCTCCAGTATGGACTGCATCGCTTCTGAGTGGGGCTCAATCTTCTCGTGGCTAGTTCTCTTCTCTTACCCCCAGGCTTTCCAATCGGCCATCATCTGTGCGTGTCGGGCGTCGGCCTTGGCCTCGTTTGCCTCCATTAAGGCCAGCAATTCGTTCTTCTCGGCCTTCCTTTCCTCCGTGTCAGCCTGCCTATTGGCCGACGCCTTGGCCTGGTCAGCTTTTCTATCGGCCGACACCTTTTCCTGGTCGGCCCTCATCACTTTCAGCATATCCTCTTTGTCTTTCCTCCAATTTTCTTGCATGGCCTTCATTTCTTCCATGTCGGCTTTTCTATTGGCTTCTGCCTCTTTCAGCATCATATTTGTTTTCTCTTGGCCAGCGCTGATTTTCTTCAGCAAGAGTTCCATCATTTGCTGCGTTTCCATTTTTTTTGTAGGACCCGTGTTAAAGTTCGATCCCACTTCTGACACCAATTATCATCTACGGTTTCCAGCAGAGCTTGTACTCTAGCCTCCCCCCGCCGTTCATGATTATCGTTGCACAGATCATGCAGGGTGAACTGAATTTCCAAATAGTCGGCAATTGCGTTGGCTTTTTTGAATGAATAGCAGTTGGTGCCCTTGGTCCATCCCTCTTTAGGAGGGACTTCACGATTGGTCATATACCCTGAGGTGTGACTTCAGCGTTATCTATTTTTGTTTCCCACCATTCAAGTGCCTTTGTTCAGGTCATTCGTCTGATTGATTTTGTGACCCAATTTAGTGCCGTCTTACATGCTGGATCCCTGGTTTCTTGCCACAATTTTCGTAGCCTCTGCTTATGTTTTAACAGGCGATCTAGACCAGGAAGATCGTTGTTTGTCTGAAAGTGTAACTTTTCTTGTGGACAACCTATATGCCGAAGCAACAGAGGCTGCAAAGTGGCGTGCCACTTTATTGGCTTCTACCCCAGACTTAATTTCTACTTTCGGTGATATTAACTCAGAGAAGAGGCTTTGAAATCGCTCCCAATCTGTGAATTTTTCGATAGGTTCTGAAAGGTTCCTAATTTTAACATGATCCAGTATGTGTAATACTATTGGTAGGTGATCTGAATTCAAAATATTGGATATTCTGATATTTTGGTGGACCACAATATCCAGCATGTCACCATTTCCCATAAGGGAATGAGTGGGGCACTGTGGTGCTGCTCTCTCTTGCACTCAATGTATCTTCTTACACAACCTTGAGTCAGACCTACAGAAGACATGTCTGTATTGTTGCAGGCTTTGCTTAGCACTGGCTGTTTACTTAGCCACTGCTAGGCAGCGAATGGTTTCTAGCTTGCAATTGGCTAGCATTTGATCCACTGTGGGTGCTCCCCACAGTCACATATTGTTGTAGACCTTACATAGCAATGACTGTTTACTCATTGTTGCTAAGCAATGGTACCTGAGCTGTCACTGTAATGTTTGCTTGAATGTGGGCAGTTCCCACACGTACTTGAATCCCTTTAGCACTCTTCTACATGACATCTCCTGCAAAACTTATAACAAAAGCCGTATCTTATTTATGTCTATTATATACAACATGTTTAGGGAAGGAAAAAGGCATTTAGACTTTGATAAGTGTTAATAAAAGCCATGGGTCTCCATACCCCAAGTTCCTGTAATCTCTTCTTCTTGCTTACTGTGATTTCTTTTCAAGAAAATAACTCCCACAGATGGCAAGCAGCTGCTGTACACAATATGGACATGTCTACATTAGCAGCTTGATCAAGAGATTTTTAAGGCCATGTGAAGGACTGATAAAACAAATTATATATATTCCATGGGTTTCAATCATTAGGAATTCAATATCTTCCTCCTACAATCGTTTAGTTCACGTTATAATACTGTTTGCACCAGCGTTAGAAGAGTACCTCCTGCCTCACTTGCCCTACCCCGTTGAAGAACTTACCTAAATACAAAATTCTCAGTTATAAATACATGCAAGTGATAACAGTAATGCTTAGTTGAGATAATTACTTTGGTATAATACTGTATGAAATGTCTGCATATGTGTTTGCACTTACATTTGCATTGGAAAGTAGTACTATAGTCATATTATGACTTGTTTCACAACCTTCACCTGGACCTGTGAAGGACCTATGGATTGCAAACAAATCCTACGTACTTGTATTGACGCGCTTTCTGATTTGTTAGAACAACATAAAAAATAAAACAAACATGCTGGTAACAAAAGACTCACCTGGTATCGTAACTGATTTTGGCTGCAAGCATCCTTCTATTTGTTTTTTAATTTAAAGCTAACCATGTCCCATTTCACTCCATATACAAACCATACTACCCTGGAAATGACTTCTCTTCTATTCCTCCTTTCTACACGTCTCTAGTTTTAATGGGACACCTCAACAGTCTTGTTTTAGAAAAATGACACAAGGTTCTTAAAACCAAATTTAGTAAATTACAGTCTTCAAACATTACCAATTTTTGCACTTGACTGTGATATTAGCATTGAGAGAGCTGTTATGCTGATCACGGCCTGGTTAGGTATGTTGTACTGAGCAATTGAAATTTTATGTTCTTTGCATGACCAGAACACGAGGAGAAATTGTTCATTCTTCCAACCTAATACAACTTTACTTCAAGAGTTCAATGAATTCTTATTTTTTAAACATATACCAAAATGCAGCAACCATCGCACAATAAGCCTTATGGCACATACAGCAAAGATAATAACAATGATACTTAAAAGAAGAATTGAAAGGAAAATAGAGGATATAGTTGGAGAGGATCAGTTTGGATTTAGAAGAGGAAAAGGAACCAGGGATGCAATTGGGATGATAAGAATTATAGCAGAACGAACTTTGGAGATAGATGAAGAACTGTGTGCTTGCTTTATAGACTGGCAGAAGGTATTTGACCGTGTAAATTGGACCAAATTAATGCAGATCCTGAAGGAAACAGGTATCGATTGGCGGGAAAGAAGATTGATCAGTAAATCGTACATGGATCAGAAAGTTAGAGTGCGACTGGACACAGGGGAGACAGGAAGTGTGAAGATTGGAAGAGGAGTTTGACAAGGATGCTGTTTATCACCAATTTTGTTCAACTTGTACAGAGAATGCCTTACCAAAGAAGCTCTGGACGAGCTTGGAGACTTCAAATTAGGAGGGCAAATTATTCAAACTGTGAAATATGCAGATGACCTTGTGTTAATGGCTAAGGAAGAAACTGTGCTACAGGGTATGATTGATAGACTAATTGAAACTGGAAGGTGCTATGGCATGGAAATGAATGTGGAAAAAACAAAAGTAATGAAAATTTTGAGACAACCAAGCCCAGTCACAATAAAGATAGACCAAAAAAACTGGATAATGTGAAATGTTTTAAATATTTGGGTAGCTTGTCAACAGATGATGGAAGGTGTACATGTGAAATTAAATCTAGGATTGCCATGGCAAAAGCTGCATTTAGCAAGAAGAAGAATCTTTTTACCAGCAAATTGGACTTAAATTTGAGAAAGAAACTAGTGAAATGCTACATTTGGAGCATCGCTTTGTATGGGGCTGAAACATGGACACTTAGGGCAGTAGATCAGAAACACCTGAAAAGCTTCGAAATGTGGTGTTGGAGAAGGATGGACAAGATCAGTTGGACCGATTATGTGAGAAATGAAGAAGTGTTGTTTAGAGTCAGTGAGCAGAGGAATATCCTACACGAAATAAGAATATGGAAGGCTAATTAGATTGGTCATATCCTACGCGGTAACTGCCTTCTAAAAGAAGTTATTGAAGGAAAGATAGAGGGGCGGATAGATGTGACCAGAAGACGTAAGAAGATGCTGGATGACCTTGTGGACAGAAGAGGATATTTTCATTTGAAGGAGAAAGGTCTAGATCGCATCAAGTGGAGGAACTGTTTTGGAAGAGACTGTGACCTGTCGTCTTGACAGATTACTGATGAATGAATGAATACCAAAGTCACATATAAATTTTGTGTTACATATAGCTCAAGTACAGGGCTCCTATTCCATGTGTAACTGATCAATATTTCTCAACAACTCCTTACTGTTCAGAGAACGTGCGTACAGTGGACTTCAAATACAAACCCTTCAACTAATCTCACACTCCTGGATACAGCCCCATGCACAGGTTATGTTTAATGTAATACGCGAAAAATTTTTAGGTGTAGCGAATTCTTGGTGAGTCTATCAAACGGTTTATTTTTATAACAAAAGATCATAAAACTAGCAGCAGCAGATGCGATATCGCAGAGATTTCCGAATACTTCAAAAGCAGTCCAAAGCTTCCCTTTTTCTCTACACTAAATTGCCTGGACCAGAACAGTAACGACAGTAAGGTACATTAACATAAACATAGTGACACGTGGGGACCACGGATCACAAAATTTAGGTAGTGAGTATTTGGACGATCATGTTCCGTGATCACGAAAGCGGCCGAAAACAACAGAAACTGTAAGAAATGGAAACCTCGGGTCACATAAATCTGAACAGAATCTCGTTGCTTATTTGTGCAATTATGGCCGACAGTGTTCCGTGGTCACGCTAGCCATGCTAGACATCAAACCTATGTGCATTTCCCGCTGATGGGGAAAATAAACTAAAAAATTAAATATTCATTATTTAATGTGGATTGATGTTATAATTAAAAACAATAGCATATGTAAATTTATTTCAGTTACTACCGGGCGGAATTGAGCGACTGAGCTGGGATATCCCGTTCAGTATTGAGTTATGTTAGACACTTTTAAACTGTAATGTTGCAACAAGGTGTTTCCGCCTCTGCTTTTCAAAAGTAGTCATGTTGAAAATGGCGTTCTGAGCCGAGGGGAAGGCAAGGATTGATGTAGGTTGTGTACCATACGCAATTAAAAATTACTCACTCAAGAACTTTTGTAATTTATAGGCATATAACTGTTTAATGTAAGTAAATGTATTGTTTATCAATAAGTAGGATCATATGATAATTCAGACTAGACTATTTCTATAGCGTCTTTGTTTTAATGTCAATGTTTAAAAAATATTTATTTTAACCGGCATGCGAACAATAGGATGAAGTTTATTTGCAGTGATCATTTCAGAGGTAGGAAACATGTTAATTTTAGGCAGCAGGTGAGTAAATAATGAACATAGTTGTTAAACTTGTGAGTTTTCTTTTTTTAATTTCTTAAACTGTCGTTTCTTAGGTGTATGTTACTAGAAAGAAGTGCGAAGTTCATACTTTGTATGTGTAAGAGTAAGTATTTTCCATTTCGTCCAGACAGTTATACCAGTGGTTACTATTTGCAGCATGTCATCAGGCCGACCTATAAAGTGTGTTGTTGTTGGAGATGGGACAGTCGGAAAGACATGCATGCTGATTTCATACACAACAGATAGCTTTCCAGGAGAGTATGTACCCACTGTGTAAGTATAAAATATTTCTACATTCTATAGCGTTCGCTTGTGGAGGTCGGCGTGGCCCACATTGATGCGATTGAAATATAAAGAAAGTATTGTGCTGATTTCTCATTTATACCATCAGCTTTACAGTTTCAATCTCACCCATTTTGGCCTTTTTGATACACATATTTCTCAATTAAGGGAGTTTAGGTTGAGGTAGCCACTAGAGATGCAGCAAACACTGTTGGTAATTAAATATAGTGTTTGACTAATTCTGTTGTGATGAGGTCTAAACTTTTATTGTTGATATCCCTCGGTTCCTCTATGAGTAACTTATGTATACCATATTTGTGCAGTTCATCATTGTCATACTCAGTGGTAGCTTGTGGCTCAAATAGATATTGGGGCTAATTTGAGACAGTGATACATTCTTACGTTCTTATATAATAATAATAATAATAATAATAATAATAATAATAATAA